CGTGTTCGAGGAGGTAATTGAGGAGTACAAGGAGGAGATCCTAGTACAGGAGGAGGTCCCAGAGCCACCACTGACTGACTGAGCTGACACCCCGCCTACCCAAGGCAAGCCCCGGTGCATAACCCTTATTTTGAATGATCACTGGATATATATATGTGATGTGCATTTACATTACAGGATTTATATTGAAACTACATGCATAGATAACCTACCTATGAGTCCTACTAGCATAGGTTGAGTAGCTGCTATGCTTAGGTTATCGGTAGCGTGAGTAACCTGCCATTACTTGTAATAGGTGATTATTATTATTATCACTCTCATAATAAAATAGTGAAAGAAAAAATGGAGACCAGGCAGGGATATGGTACGGGTATTGGTGGGTGTAATAGGTTGTGTCCCGTGGTCAACGGGGCATAGCTTGGTTACACTGTTTTCCCTGTCCATGTTGGTTAAGGACCGGCTGTTGCATTGAATTTTAGTCGGGTCACAGACTTATTATTCTGAGCACATACTTGCATGGGAGCAGGAAGGCTCATTGCTCTCTTGTCGTGGGTTTTGGCTCTTTTCGGACCGACTGATTGAAGACGGGGATGGTGGAGGTCTAAGCACCACACTGAGTCCGAGACTCAGGTGTGAGGGCTTGAAGTCTAAGTTTGGATGGGGACCTAGACCCCTTGACAGGAGAGTGGTGGGTTGGTCCTGCTTGTGCCTGGAGTACAAGTGGGACATATGTTTTAGGGTACCTAGCTGGGCTACATTGATTCATGAATCACCGTGTAATATGGTACAGCTTGTCTACGATCTAGCACCGTAGTAAGAATTGAAAGATGAAAGATGGTGAAATGGATCTGATTGCTCAACTCTTGCTTAAAAGTAGAATAAGTGCTTATATAGAATGGTTAGCTAATGAACTAATCACGACTGCTAATAAAACACATACATAATGATTCACTCCTAATAATTGCTTTTTGCAAAAAGGAAACCCAACAAACTATAAAGCTTATCATATCCTTTGGAGTCAGAAAATTATTCCCACTGATCGGGTAAGTCTTACGAGTACATTATGTACTCAGGGTTTATTTATCCCTGTTGCAGGTGCAGCTTGAGGAGTAGCTGTTGAGTGGAGGATTCTTCTGGTGGGCACAGACGGATCCTTGTATCCTATCGCTAGATGTTTATTTCAATTCCGCTGTTTAAATTCCGCACTCTAAACTTGGTATTGTAATAATGTATTTCTAAGAACTCTTGATATATGAAATAGACTAAGTATTGTAAATTCGTTCTCATTATTAGATCCTGGAGGAAAAACGTTGATTATTTCGAGTTCTCTTGGGGTGTGCTTGATGGAACCATCTAATATAGCTTGCTTTTAGGGTGCTTAGTGTCTGGTGGAAGACGAGCCTCTCCAAAGGTACGTTATTTCGAGCGGTTCTGCCACACATCAGCTCTCACGCATGTACACAGTGACTTTCAACAAACTAAAAAAAATCATAACTCCTAAACCAAACATCCAAATTAAATTCCGATTATACCATCGGGTTTCATACAATAAATCATTCAAAACAAAATCCCTCATGGATATATTTAGATAAAATTTTATCAACAAACATTTATCTTATGAACATAGAACATTTTCTTTATTGAGCAGAGACGATGTTCTAGGTTCAGAGAACAATGTTTTGTTTTCATAAGAAAATGTTCTGATTTAGAAGAACAGTATTCTAGTTTTAGATTCATGAAATTGGTATTACAATATACATAAAAATAAATAAGTAAATACATAACATAAATAAAAAATAATAAACTCTTGAGCAAAGGATAAGGAAAAAATAAAAACACGTAATAGAGAAAAATTTAAAAGAACATCACATGGATACTTTTCAAACATACTAAAATATACTATAGAAGTGAAAGGGCCTCTAGCCTTGTGGTTAGAGCACCTAAGTAGCATCCAACAGGCATGGGTTCGACTCCTCATGGGAGCAAATTAAACAGGCCTAGAATAAAAAATTATAAAAAAATAGTTTGGGTTTTTTGCTGCTGACTTCGGTCAAAAAATACTATAGAATATCACATGTATACTAAGTGAACATGATTAACTACACCATAGAACATCACTAAATATATTATAGAACATCGCATATATATTACCTGAACATCACTAAATACATCCTAGTACATCACATGTATAGTAAGTAAACATTGAAAAAACATCAACACATGTATACTACATGAACATCACATGTATACTACGTGAACAACACAAAAACATCATAGAACATTAATGTATACTACTTGAACATGACACAACACAACATAGAACATGAAATGTATACTACATGAACCTCACATATATATAGGAAATAGAAAATAAAAAATATTAAAACAATTAATTAGAGTAAAACCAAAGAAGGAAAACACACATAAAAATATAATTAATAAATGATAAATATATAAAACAAATAAAATAAATGAATAACTTAAATAAGGATTGAAAAAAGAAAATTAAAAAGAAAAAATAAAATAAGAATGAAAAACATATAAAACTTAAAAAGAAAAGAAAAAGGGTGAATAAATAGAAGCAAGAAAAAACAATAAAAAGAAATCGAAAGAAAAATGAAAAATGAAAGGTAAAATAAATAAGAAAAGAATAAGGAAAAGAAAGGAAATAAAATAAGAATGAAAACATATAAAACTAAAAAGAAAAGAAAAAGGAAGAATAAATAGAAGCAAGGAAATAAAACAATAAAAAGAAAATAAAAGAAAAAAGAAAAGGAAAATGAAACATTACGTACATGTTCCGGCGTGATGGCCTCCCGCGCTTCTAGCGCATTGTTCAGCACGCGTCTCTGGTCCGGTTGTTCGGACCGGATGATTTTCGGAGTAACACTCTAAAACCCGACTGTCACGTTGTCTCACTACACCGCTTTATATAAATTACCCAATAGTACAATCACACCCAAGTCACAGGAACTAACAAATTGCACAAAAGTAAATATGTGGACTGTAAACCGAGCAAGGCAATGGGTAACTCACAGCATGTAGATTGTCTACGTGCGAAGACAAGCTCAAGCGAGATACTAGAGACATTGGCAGAGCCGAGGGAGACATCTACGGCACGAACCCGAGGAGCAGAGGTACACTGCGCAGCAGGGAGCCACAACCCGAGGAGCAGAGATACACCGCACAGCCGGGAGCCCAAACACTATGCCAAGGTCGACAGCAACCAGACCACCACCGTGCCCGTGCAACACCACACAGACGTACACACAACAGCAGCACGCCGCTGGTCAGAAACAGCAGCACAAAACCACACCACCAACTGACCGCACACAATGCAGTCGCAAGTCGCAATGACCACGGCGTGCACAACATGCGATTTGAGTATACGGATACGGTATCGGATGTTGAATATCCGAACTCGGATACGGACGGATCTGAACCATCTAAACGGATTCGGTCTCGAATACAGTCGAAAAATATCTGTACCGTTCTAATTAGAGAGGTTGAATAATAAAACCAGTTGTAAATAATAGATGTACTGTAGCTGTCACAAATAATTTGAATATCAATACAAGATAGACTGGCATAATATGGAGGGTAAGATTTGGCTAGCCAGCGGGAGCATTGAGTAATGTGTATAGTGAACGTTTTGTAATTGATATTCGAATGAAGATAAAGAGAGTATAATTTGAAGTGTTAATTAAAGATGTTTTCACAATTAGTCTTAGGGTAATCCCAACCCATTATCTATAAAATATTTTGTATACGTGCCAAGTTATATAGACACTAAACATTAGAATCATATTTTCAATGGATGATTTTTCGAAATAATATTTTGTCCAATCACCAATCTTTTCTCTCGTATCATTTATCTACCATATCTTTTTCTATCTTGTTTCTTGTATAAGAAACCATTTTTTCTCTATCTGTCTTAATTCAAATATCCAATCATCATTTTGCTTAGTTAGACTTTGTTTGGATTCATTAATCACTAATAGTTAGTTAGCTAATTGCTCATAGTTAATATTAGATAGCTAATTATTAGCTGTGATTAGCTGGTTTAATCCAACTAGTAAGATAGTTGTTAGTTGGTATTAGCTAATAATTAGCTAGATTATTAATTGTACCTGTTTAGATTAAAAGAAGATAATTATTAGCAGCTAACTATTTGCTCTGCGAATCCAAACAGAACTAGCTATTAATGTGCTGTTCGCTTGGCTAATAAATCATGATAGAAAGTACTGTTGGATGATTTGTTGTGAGAAAAAAATATTATTTATTCGCTGAAAAAGTACGATTTATAGGTCAAACGAAACGGGGCGTAAAATTATTCGAGCTTATTAGTTGGGGCTGCTCTTAACCAATAAAACTGATCACGCTCCTGCTAGTAGTTGTTCAAAAGGACAATTTGTATATATATAATAAAAAAGTAGAGAAATCAATCGCCTACCTCGTGCGTGCGTGCTTCGTCCTTCCGCGGTTTCAAGTCTGAACACTGCTGCGCGCCGGCTACCACGATCCCGTTTCCTTCGTTCTTTGGCAGTTCCCACGGCTCCGTAGTACTGTATACTGCACCCACCAACCACCGGCCTCACGAGTCGCGTCTGGTATATTTTCTTGCTTCCTTCCTCACAGTGGCAGACGCTCCATCCGTCACATCTGACACTCACTAAGGCCTCGTTTTAGATCATCGGATATTACATGAGCGTAGCAGATATTCCGATACTAATAAAAAAATAAATTACAGAATACGTTATTAAACCGTAAGACAAATTTATTAATTCTAATTAATCTACCATTAACATATATGTTACTGTAGAACTTATTATCAAATCATATACTAATTAGATTTAAAAAATTTATATCGTAAAGTAGTCATAATCTATATAATTAATTATTTTTTAGTTTATATTTAATACTCTATAAATATGTCAAATATTCAAAGGAATAGGCCATAAACTTTACAGTAAAGAAGGCCTAACTACAGGCCTACAGCAATGGCGTCCTCTTCGTTATTCCAACGAGGCGAAAGACGAGGAAGGTGGGGGAGCCCCGAGCGCACCGTGGTCTGGACCGAGCCCGAGCCCAAGCCGGCGAGGAAGGTGGCCGTGGTGTACTACCTCTGCCACCGCGACGGCCACCTTGACCACCCGCTCCTCCCACCCTGCTGCTCCTGGCCTCCACCTCCGAGATTTCACGGCCCGTCTCAACGCGCTCCGCGGCAACGGCATGGCCGACATGTACTCCTGGTCCTCCAAGAGGAGCTACAGGAACTGGTACGTGTAGCAAGACCTCACCGAGGACGACCTCATCCACCCCGCCCACGGCAACGAGGAGTACGTCCTCAAGGGCTCCCCGCTCCTCCTCTTCCCTCAGCCACCGCCGGCGCACCAGGACGCCTCCTCCTTCACCTTCAGCCAGGACAAGAGGGCCGGCCGCCACCGCAAGAACTGGAGCTCCTTCGACCTGGGCGACTGCAATAATAAGCTGCTGGTGGCCCAACAGTCTTCGGCCACGTAGACCGACCACCGCGGGCCAGACCGGGACGCCGACCGGTCGACGGAGCTGGCCATCGACGAGATCTCGCCGCCGCCGTCCTCGAGCAGCCCAGACGCCCTGGAGAGCTGCAGCAGGGAAGTTGGCGTGATCGCCGGCGGGCGGATACGGGCGTCGGCGGTGCTAATGCACTTCTCCTGCGGGTCCATGACGACCGTGAAGCGGGGCCACGCGCGTACCCGCTCCGACCTGGTGACGGCAAGTGCTAGTACCAGGCTGCCCGAGAAGGAGGTGGACGCGTACGCATCACCAACAGCTGAATGCGTGTCGGTGTCAGGTGGAGCGGGTGTCGTGGAGCGGGACTACTTCAGCGGCAGCCTCATTGAGAGCAGCAAGAAGCGCGGCGGAGATGATGCTCCTCTTCTCAAGAGGTCATCCTCCTGCAACGCCGACAGGTATGAATGCGTGCGTGCTCGAGGTTCCCAATTAAATTCCATCATATTGATTATTACGTTACATGCTGTATCTGTATGTAACTGAAGCAGGGGCGCCGCCAAGCTGAAGCTGCCGGTGCCGGCGAAGGAGGTCCGTGCCGGGTGCCTTGCCTCCCGAGGAAGCCGCGCGCCGAAGAAAAATGACTTGGCCGTCATCGCTTGCCACGCCACAGTTAGGCCCCGTTTAGATCCAAAAATTTTTAGGGTTTGACTCACGGTAGCATTTCGTTTGTATTTTGTAATTAGTATCTAATTATGGACTAATTAAGTTCAAAAGTTTCGTCTCGCGATTTCTCACCTAACTGTGCAATTATTTTTTTTTCGTCTACATTTAGTACTCCATGCATGTGCCGTAAGATTCGATGTGATAGGTACTACGCAAAATTTTTTGGGATCTAAACACACCCTTAATGGCTAGAGTTTGGTTTCCGTGTAGGCTGCAACAGCTACAGCTGGTCTGTTGGTTCTGTTCGGTTGATAGAATTTTGGTTGAAACTGGTTAAAAAATATTATTTTAATTAAATTGTTATGAAAAAAAAATACTATTCCAACTAAAAATATCGAACAAGCTGAATATTGGGTAAGCCGGTATCAAACAGGCCCTAAATCCACGGCGGCTCAGAGCAGAGACGGTGGCGAACGAAGGGTGCGACGCCGGACGGGCCAGGGGGCAGGTAGGTCGCTACTCTGCTGCGTAGTCCATGAAGCGCGTCGATTTGCAGGTGGCGGTGGCGGGACGGGCACGACACGGTGTCGCGCGCGGGTGGGTGCCCCAAAATGTGGATGGACGAGTCAGCTCAAAGTCAGCTTCTGCTACTACTAGTAGGACTGTAGGAGTAGGTATCTGCATGCCAGTGCTCGCAACGGCACGCGCTTGTAGTGTTGCTCACTGTATAAACATGTCTTGTTAGTTGTAGTTGCTACTACTCTGATTGTCAATTTACTGTTCCTGCTTTTGTTTATTTTCTCATTGTCAATTTACTGTTACTGCTTCCTGCGTGGTCACTCACCTAGTTAATTTTCTCATTGTCAATTACTGTTCCTCAGATCCGATTCCCAACTTTTATTTATAGTAAGATCAAACATGTCTTGCTAGTTGTAGTTGCTACTACTCTGATTTCAACAACTCCATCCTCCCACGACGTCCATCTTCTCTGCTTACTACGAAGTGAAGCGCGTGTCTCCTCACCGTTTCTCATTCCATGCCCGGTTGCCTCGTGCCCTCGTTGCCTAATCAGTGATTATATTACAACTGGTGGCTTGGGACATACTGACATGCATGCACATCTTCCATTCGCTTTGTCCGACATGATGAACGCCACAAGTTAGGTTAGGTGTGTGTGGAACGAAGAAAGAAAGGTGTCGGTTTGACTTGCCTGGTCTACACTAGTCGTGTCAGTTGGACTCGCACGGTAGCGGCGCCATGTGACAGCAAACACATGTGGACGGGCCAAATAGTTGATCGTTTGACCCTTTCCCTGTCTTCGTATTGGACAACTACCATGGATCTATACAAATTTGACAATTGATGCATTGTTTAGTTCCAAAAACTTTCCCAAACAGTGCTACAGTAGCCATCACATCGAATCTTACGATACGTGCATGGAGCATTAAATGTAGACGAAAAAAGATTAATTGCACAGTTTGGTTGGAAATCGCGAGACGAACGTTTTGAGCCTAATTAGTCCATGATTGAATAATAATTGCCAAATAAAAACGAAAGTGCTACAGTAGCCAAATTCTAAAATTTCGCGAACAAAACACAGCCTGACATGCAAGGAGCCTATGGTACAATGGTAGAACTGTTTAGGATGCTAACCACTAAGGTTCAAACACTAGTGTTGCATCTTTTTTATGAAATCTTTTGAGAAAAAAGATACACGCACGCATGCGCGTTCGGTGAGCCTCTCAGTATCTTCTTTGAGCGTGTATGGACGCGCACGTAAGTACGTGGGTTATATGCGTCCAAGTCGTACCTGATAAAAAAAGAGTATCTTCAACAATTTTCTTAAACCCACTCTCTAAACCTTCATTACGGTCTCTCTACTAAAAATCCCTCTTTATATCTCTCCACAGTTATATAATTTCATTATATCTTGTGTACACTTTGGAAAGCAAGTGTAACGAACTGTCTAGTTTATAAAAAGTTCAAGTATGATGGTCATCACTGAGGATATCGGCGCGCTCACACTTCAACTCGTATAAACCCGGTAATCCGTCGAGTGTTATGAAAGATCTCGATAATCTACTTTACAACCAAGATCGTACTTAATTAAACAAATACATATCACATACGTAGAGTTCGCGATAAAAATAATATTAGAAACTGAGTTCATAAATAAATAGTACAATATCAAGTTCCAAATCTGATAAGTTAAAGCGACATAGTTTGAAATAATTACAAACCAATACGTTTGAAATACACTGCTAGCTTCAATAGCATCCTCCAAGCAAAAGCATGGATGAGATATATTGAATATCAGCCGAGCCCACCGGCACTTTATTAATCGCTCTCAGTAAGGGAGAGATAGGTAGCACTGCAGTCAAGATACAACACTCCACCTGCAATAGGGTAGAATAGAACCATGAGTACTTAAGTGTACTCAGCAGGATATGCAGCGCTTTTATTGTGGAGCAAGACAAGAATTTAGCAAAAATTTTACTAAGACAAGGCCTTACTTTCAGTATTTTAGCAGCAGGTTTAAGTTTAGCTAATTCATGCTAGGTTCTGCAGCTATCCTGTACCACACAATTAATATAAGCAAGTGCAGTAGTAATCATATTGTGAGTAATGTAACCATAATCATGTTCTATATAGTTACTACGATGCTAGACAACGGACAAGTTTCTCACTATTTGGGATAGATGGCAACTTGAATCGCGATTACAGCCAGCTGGCCAAAATCCACATCACACGCCCGTACTCACCTCATTGGGTTAGCGTGGGTAACCGTTCGCTCTATTTAGCGAGGAGTCTAAACTGAGACGCAAGACCTAGTAGACCACCAACCTCAAATAACGCCGTAGGCCTGGCTTGACAAATATGGAGTGTCCCAACCTCTCCGCACCAAACTCTCCTCCCTGCAATGGTTGTAGTCTTTGTAATCTTTGCTGAGCTATGTTTTGAACAGGGCTAATTCTTCCAAGCTTCCATCTTTCTACAGAGTATAGCTTGGTGCCTATACTTTATGACCTAGAGTTTACTAAGTGTTTTGAACAAGTTCAATGATATTGGTTGTGCACATGAGGTTGTATAATGAAATAGGTTAAAGGAGCAATGGAAAGTTGATTGTGAGGATGAGTATGTGATAAACCTGCGGCAAGGGAAGATCATCCCAGAAAGGCAGGTGCCAAAAGAAAAAAGATAGGAAGAAGAAAATGACACAAAGATCGGGATGACCTAGACATGGATGTATTGAGCCTTTCCTTATGTTCTCTCATACAAAGAACCTCGCATAGGAAGGGATTACTTAACCACGTAACTATAGCCACTTGAGATAGGTGGGAACGCATTCGCACAATCTGGCATGAATAAAAGAACATCTCTAGCAAGGGAATGTGCTTTCGAACACAATCGATAGTCTGTAACAAGTGTTACAATACGATGCCTTTTGTGGATTGGATTGGTTTTAGCAAGAATAGGATTTCTAATGGGATAGGAAACCGAGGAAGCAGGAGCTCATCCCTAATAGCGCTAAGAATTCATATTTCATTTATCATAGGTTTGCTAATGCATAGTATCGGTGTTTTGTAAACCAGACTAGTAAATTTATATGATTACCGTGCTGCTCTAGGAAGACGATGATAGCATCCAAAAGACACGAGGATTTATACTGGTTTAGGCCAGAGCTCTACGTCTAGTCTCAGAGATGATTGAGTGTGTGTCCTCGCTTGAATGCTCTGAAGTTCTTACAATAGGGGTGCAAGAATGGTGGAAGAGGTAGGAGAGCTAGAGCTAGGAGACGGGCTGCCCAAAGGAAAGCTTCAGGAGCCCTTCTACGGTGTAAGAATGAGTGAATGAGTTTGGATACCCTAGATGGGTGCCCTGGCTGCCCTTATATAGAGTTTGGGGCCAGGGCATGTACAAAGAAGAAGGTTCTCCCAACCGAAGGGTCGTGAGCCTGAGGGATGACCTAGCTAACTTGGCTTGCAAGCTACGCCGTCTTGTGGTGCACATTTGGGTGTGGTTGTCGTCATGGTCCTATGGCCACATCATGGCATGGTGTGGCGTGGTGCTACTATGCCGACCGTGGCAGCATTGTAGGAACGGTGGTGGTTCGCTAGCCGTCCTATGTGACGTGGTCTTCGTCATCGCCTCCTGGTGTCCTGGGGCGTCATACAGGAGTTGGTATCTGCCCCCGGGTTGTTGATTGCCTGGTTGGCTTGTGGAGTTTGTGGCCACGATCCTGACCGTTGGGGTCGTGGCTCCCGCCGGTCTGGCTGGCCTCTAAGTCAAGGCCCTCATCATGGATCCCATCCCGTAGTGGGCGTACTTACGTCTTGTCGGTCCATATTTGGATGGTGGGTCACCGTACTGACAGCCACCATCGTGCAGTGTTGTCTTGTCCGTGCTGCATGGTGTAAGTATGGCGTCTGACCGGACCGAGGTGACCGTTGTCCCCTCGGTCCTTGCGGGGTCAGTGCGGCGTATCTACTCTTGTCAGAGCAGGCATGCTTGGTCAGGCTCGACCCTTCCCCGTTCCTCCCAGGGGTCGGAGCGGTGGGGACGTCATGAGGCTCTTGTGCGTTGTGTGGCTAAGTCTGATGAACCTTAGCGCTTGGCCTAGTTTTCTTGGATCAACTGGGCCTCGGTCGTTCAGGCTCATGCTGGCTGATGTATCATGGGCCGCTCGGCCTGCTAACTAATCAGTGCCTTGAGACACCCTAGGGTTATAATCCCGACAGTAGCCCCCAAGCGTTTTTGCGATTGCGAAGTGATCGTGAAAGCGCTATATTGCGTGCATTTCGAATGCGGGTTTGTAGTTCGTGGCTTGCTCGAGCTTCATCGCTCGACCCCTTGCGGGATGGTGTGTTCAATGCGGTAGGAGGCCGTTGTGCTCCACCCCGTCAGGATGCCCTGACGATGTGGTACGCTACCACTGAGCCTTTCCATGTCTGTGTGCTGTGTATCGGGGTTCATGACCTAGGTGGGACCGAGTGGTCTTGTCGACGCTATACCAGCCTTGCCTTTGGGAAGGTCTCGATTTCCCTGACCTCATGTGGGCATCTGATATTGGTTGTGACCTCCCGTGGTTCGCCACATGGCGTGGGGGTTTTAGGCTGCTCAGCCCATTCCTAGCCTATAAATGGAGGCCTTTCTACCGTTTGAGGCACCCATGGCTGTGATTGCAAATTGCTCTTTGCCTCCCCGATTGGTCGGGAGCGGAGAGGGTGAGGAAAAGGAGAAAAGTCTGAGGAGAGCCACGTGGTTCTTGATTTGCGTCCCACTAGGGGTCGCTGGTGATGGCCGGAGCCAGTGTCACCCCTTCCAACAGCTGGTGCTAGAAGGGGACTTGCGAGCGAGGGATGATTGAGGTGGTGTTTAGGTCAACCGTAAGCCCTCATGATTCCTGCGCACCCCCGAACCTGTAGTTTGGGGTCGCTGAAACACGAGCACCAACGACTACAACCAACTCCTCCTAGAGCCTGCAGGCCTCCCTTTGGGGTAGCCTGAGGTTTGGGGGATGCATTGTCATCCCTTGGTGTCTCCATCACGCCTTTCCTCCCCGTGCCTTTCCACCCTAGAGGTTGTAGTGCTACAAGAAGGGAAGTGAGTTGATTTCTCGTCTTGTTCCTCCCACACTTGTAGTAGGCACCTCTGGGGACCCCACCGCCACCGCCTTGGTGGCAGTGTCGTGGTTCAGTACTTTTTCAAGCGGTTCGACTACTCCTGTACTTTCAGGGATTTAAGTGAAAAGAACACTCTTTTCTGTATGCTTGGGTTTCCTTTTGTGCCTGTCGCAAGCCCCCGGGCCACGAGATCAGGGTCGCGGCTTTCGGCTTGATGTGAGAAAACATTTCCTCGAGCTCTTTTTGCGCGTTCATGAGGTTTTCTGTGATCGTGCGTTGGTTTGTAGGTCTTGGACCTTTTTATGTTTTCCACGTGACCGAGCCGTGATCACATTTTGGGTTTCACATTGCTTCATATGGAAGTCACTGCTGCATTGCTCGGTCCATCTGCTTTGTCGATCTATCATGGTTTGTGAGTCTTTGAAGCTAGCCTTAGGTCTTTAGACCTAGAGATGCCGGGAGGAGTTTTCGGTCACGGCTTGGCTTTGACTCCCTTATGGGGTCGTGGGGACCCGACTCCTATTTTTCTCGGCGTCCTTGCTGACCTCGAGAGGTCATGATGCCTTGTTACAGGCGGGTTTGGTTTCGCCCCACGCGGGGAGAGGCATGTCCACTGTAACCACGCGGTCGGAGCGGTGCGTCTCGTCGGGTCGATGGGTAATCCGAGGAGGACCTGATATCCTCCCCAATCGACGTGGTGTTTGGCTGTGCCTCATCGAGAGACATCTCATAAATTGTCGGCCATCAAACCCGTTGGTCCCCGACCACCTCCGCAGTGGTTAGAGGGCAAGATGCCTCCCACCCAGAGGGGGTCAACCCGGGTGACTTCAAAGTGGATGACTTGAACACAGGGAGAGCTCCACACCACCGATTAGAGCCGTAGGGACCCATCTCCTCCCTGCCCCTATCCCTTTGTGGCCTCGAGCCCTTCTAAGGGATAGCCCAAGAGAGGTTTTCCTAAGCACGACGTGGGGTCATGGTTGCGGTGGGTCGCTCTGCGCATGATCTCGGGGGGTTGTTGGCCTCCCCGGTCACATCATGGCATAATGGCGCCCACTCATGAGCAGTTGCGTGCCGTGAAATATGGGCACGTAAATCAAAATGATATGAAAAGAGTGGGGATGTGCAAAGGTTACTTGGATCGCTCCGCTGCATGGGCAACAATCACTCTGCCTTCCCTCCGATTGCTTCACCTGCTTTGTGCGATTTCCAAGGTGGTTAGTGAATGAAAGTAAACGCGCATGCGCCCGAGGTATTCATTGTGGCTAGTCCTTATGGCTATAAATACCTCGGGCGCTTGCCCTGCTGCTTCTTCCTCCTTGCCTTCGTGCGCCCACGGCTTCCCTTCCCAGCTAATATGATGGATCGCGATGAGCGTCCATGGGAAGATGTTCCGGAGGCTGGTGGTCCACCGCTGTGACTTCGAGTTTTGCTATGCGAACAGGGGTGAGTGTTTAAACAATGTTTTGAGTTTTGATGCTGACCTGAGTTGACCACGAGCACTCCTTAGGGATGCCTCTCATGCCGTGTTGGGAAGAGCCATCGGTGTTGCCCTGGCTAGGGTCCTACCGACAGCGGGGTCGAGCTCATCTTCGTCATCTCTGGGCGACCATCAAGAGTTTCACCGACTCATCCACGAGGCGGAAGAAATTCACAGGTGGTTTTCTGTGGCCGCCTACGAGGCGAGGCAGCTGGAGCTCACCCTTTACGCCGCCAAAGTCGCTCTCACTGCCTCGAAGGGTGAGACTACTGCTACACAGGCGATGGTCGCTGGCGCCCTACCCCACATCGTGGGTAAGGACCTCCTTTGTCTTGATGTCCTGAGTGATGTCCATAGCTTCTAACCTTCATGTTGTCTCATCGTCAGCGCTGGAGGAGCAGTTAGCGGCTTCTCGCCACGAAGAGGAGGCAGCTCACCTCCGGGGATTCATCATAGCAGAGGACCATGAGCGGGCGGTGGTGGCTAGAATCCGGCAAGGGGGCAGTGTCGCCCTTGCCGCCATGCTACTGCGGACCGGGGTGAACCTCCGTCGGGTGGTGCCTAGGTTCCTGGTGCACGATCGAAATGAGAGAGCGAGCGGTGTTGGTTAATGATTTCACCACTACTGCGGATGCCGTCATTGCTGCTATGGATGTGGAAGAGATTCTCCACGGTGGTGGCTAAGAGCCCTGGGGTGCATCTAGGGCCCTCAGAATTTTTTAGTAAAGGCGTTCTTGCCGGCTTGTGTTACTCGATTTTGTTTCTTTTGTGTGCTGCCGTCTTGCCATAACCGCCATCGATCATTCGAATGCCATGGCCATGTGGCCCCGCCTAGGGATCAACCTATGAGGCTTGACCTTGTGCGACCGTATTTTTGAGTCTAGGGTATCTGCAGGACAGGTTCAGCGACATCGCGCCTTTCTTCGTCTTTGTTTGGGCTACGCGGACGCTTTCTTTCCCTTGCTTTCGCATGGGCGCAGGGCCTTGTCCTGGTTTGGTTATAGGAGTTTGGCTTCGTGTAGTCCTCGGTTGCACTTGGGCACATGATGTATTGTGGTGTAGTCCTTGTGAGCAAGTCACGTCGGCTAGACACTGGTT